ACTAGTAGAGTATGTGAGAGATCCCTCAGTAGTAGTATGTAATTGATCAGGGATTGTTATATTTTCAGCATGGTGACGTTGCGCGAGATATCAGTTGGCAGTTCAGGTGCAGGGGAGGGGTCTGGCTCGGGCTTTAGAGCCGGGCAGCTTGATGATCAGATGAGGGATTTCATTTCCGCAGAGATTATGCGCAACATCCTCGATCAGACTCCAGTGATTTTCGGTTCAGTTAGAGAGGCTATTGTGGAGCTCGTGGACAGTCACCTTGAGGCCTTTAGGGTCGGGTTAGTTTCAGGATAGATTGGGGCTCGTCTAGGTCCCGAATCTTATGGAGTTCAGGGATCCATCAGGGAGGGAGATCCCATTTCTAGTTTCTGCTATCAGGGGGCAGGGGTGTGTGGGGCATTCTGTCTCCAAGAGAAACCATTGCATGATTGGATAGTTGAGGAAGTTTCGCGAGCCATTCGCGAGTGTCTGCCAGACATGGTCGTGAGGATCACTGATAGATTGATAGCGAGGCTTCAGGATCAGACATTTGTTGTTCAGTCAACAGACGTTACCGTTGGGGTAACACAGGAGCGAGAGTCGGGCAGGGAGTCGGAAGGGAAGAGGAAAATGGATGAGGCTCAGGTTGCCACAGGTTCGAGTAAGAGGCCCAAGAGTTCAGATTTGAGGACGAGGAACTATCAGAGCCGCAGTCGATGCGGGAAGTGCGGAAGGACGCACATGGGTGTGTGTAGGCGTAGAAGTGGTGGCGATGCTGGGTGTTTCAAGTGCGGCCAGATTGGTAATTTTAGCAGAGACTGTGTTGTTACCATCACCCAGGGACTTGATCCGTTGTGTTTCCATTGCTGTCATAGGGGCCACAAGAAGGCCCACTGTCCGAGTTTGTATTCAGCAGGGCAGGTGCCAGCTCCTACCCTTGGAACTTCAAGTACCGTCAGTGGTTGTCAAGGCCAGGCAAGGGTGCCTACGGCTCGGAGCCGAGTTTCTCCGGTAGATTTCAGCAGGGATTCGAGCAGCACTGAGTAATGGAGGTATGTATCTTTGTGTTTGTCAGCTTATGTTATAATTATATTGTTATGGTTTCTGCATCAATTGTGGTATAAGTGTTGTGTTATGGAGTGGCTTGCTTGTGATTGCGTCGTATGCCATTTTCATACCTCGGATAATTGGTTGGTAGTTAGGGGATGTGCTCATATGGAGAAGTTTCGGAGGATGCAGTAACTGTAGCATGGTAGGGAGAGATCTGGTTCGTTTCGCTAGTTCGGAGTGGATAGTGGTTTGGATGGAATGGTCAAATTCCTACCTGGCGGGCTTGGGTTCCCCAGTAGAAGTTTTGGAATGGTAGTAAAGGTCGGGATCTATTTTGAATGTGAAGCAGCAAGGGGTAAGCAGGATCGAAGTGGGGGAGAACCCTCCGGGTATATTTGGATAAGAGTCTCGTAGACTCAGAATGAGTGCGCGGCCTCTAAGAAGAAATGGTAGTAGCTCAGTGATGGATGGATTGAGAAGTTCAGAATTAGGAGTTCGAGAACTTTTCCCAGCAGTTAGTTCATGTAATGGAGATGGTTAGAAACTGGTTAGAAATCTAGGATTTGAGGACCACCTGTAGAGGTTCAAGTGAGTCGGAATGAGGATCCGGAGAAAACGGTTAGCAGGAGATGTTTTCGTATTAGTAGCCAGTGGCAGAGCCAGCATGCAGGCTGCGTAGATTCAGGAGTTGGGAGGTTGGAGACTTTCCAACAATAGCTTCTTGTATCCGGATTAGTAGACAGTTGGGTTGGGAACCAAGCTGGAGAATTCCTCGACGAAGCACTAAGTATATCAAGGATAAAAGATGTCGAGGATGATGCAGAATTCAAAGACTGAGGGCTGGTTTGAGGAATCGGGATGAGGGATCACTAGCGGGACTAGAGATAGTCAGGATGTCCTCGGGTCAGATAGTAGTAGAGTGTTGTAAGTCTACGGGGGTAGCCGTAGCATTCACTAGTAGTCAGATAGTAGTAGAGTGTTGTAAGCCTGCGGGGGTAGCCGTAACATTCACTAGCAGTCAGATAGTAGTAGAGTGTTGTAAGCCTGCGGGGGTAGCCTTAGCGTTCATTAGCAGCCAGATAGTATTTGAGACTTATGAATCCGCGGGTGTAGCCGTGGCTTTTATCAGATTGGTAGAAGCATGAGCGCGTGGTTGAACGCGGGAATGTAGTAATTCCCACCCGTTCGGGTGCAGCGGTGGGAATATGGGAATCCACGGATTTGATTCGAATTTCCCAAATGTTTCAGTTATGGCTAAGTCAGCGAATCTTAGCTATAGATCGTCACATCAGTTATGAGATCAGAGTAGCAGTGGACCGTTGAGGTTCGGGTATATTAAGGGCTACCGTCAGTCTGGGAGCCATCATGTTATTAGTCATAGAATGGATGATGTCAGGATGTGAAGTATGGACCCGATCGGTTGGATCGGAAGGTTGTTAGAGCCACAGTGACAGGATAACTAGTGGAAACTAGCCCTTGAGGAAGATTTCATTCAGAAGTCGTGGAAGCGACTAAGGGAGGAGTCCTTTGACTCCACAGTTGGATTTGAGTTCAGTGTTTCAGCCAATTCAGTGTTTCAGGCAGCTCAGTGTTTCAGCCAGTTCAGTGTTTCAGGCAGCTCAGTGTTTCAGCCAGTTCAGTGTTTCAGGCAGCTCAGTGATTCAGCCAGATCGGCGTTTCAGGCAGTTTAGTCTTTCAGGCAGGTTCGGTATTGCAGACAATTCAGTGTTTGAAAGGTTTCGGAGTTTTGGGTCAGTATTGTATTTGAGTTGGAATACTAGTGTTGACGGTATAGTTGGTTGATGTGGAAATGGCAAGTCTCTCTCAGCAGGATCAGTTGAGCCTTCGGCCGAGTATAAGTGACATGTAAAGATAGCTAGGCAAGTAGCTTTTCTTCGGGATGAAAGACTCGAGTTAGTAGGAGTTGAGTAATCAGATGGGATATAAGCAAGCTATTCCCAGCAACATCGTTTCAGTATGAGCGGAAGAATGGATAGAACAGTTATAGATAGTCGAAGTATTTTCAGGAGTCGCTGGAAGCGACTAGGAGATTGCGAAGGGGTGTAGTAACCGGTAGGGTTCGGTAACCCAAAGATGGAGACGTCAGTAAGGACCGGGGGTGCTAGGCACCAAGTTATGTTAGATAGGGGCGTCGGTGGTTGTTGGCGGTATTGACCCGTACTGGAATTGGCAGGGTGATGGAGTTGGTAAAGTATAGGACCTTCACAGTTACAGAGAAATAGTTGGTTATAGAACCTTGCCTTAGGAAGGCAAGGGATTTGTGCAAGGACAGGAAGGGGCGAACCCCTATAGATTCGGTTCAGTACTCGGTGAGTACCAGAAGGATTGCCGGTTGAGTAAGTTGGGTCTCTAGGATGTTCAGGGTCGGGGTTGACCTGAGGTGTTATCTGCAGGGGTTAAGGTTAGTCGGATGGATCGAGCAAAAGCTAGCAAGGGTAGGCACCTGGTGTTGGAATAGTTGGTTGGGTTTAGAGGCAGCTCGCAGGCAGTGGGCCATAGCAGACTTCGAGGATGAAGTTTAGTTTAAGTGGGGGAGAGTTGTAACACCCAAAGTTTCGAAGACCAAGAAAGGAAAGAAAACCCTAAGTTTAGGGGTCGACTCGGCGAGTCTAAGGGGGACTCGGCGAGTCCGAGCGGGATCCGGGTCGGGGAGTAAGTGACCGACTCGGCGAGTCGACCAGGGTGACTCGGTGAGTCTGGTCTGTGCGTGTAAAACCCTAAATTCGGGGCTTGGGGCCTATATAAATATCTTAATCTTCTTCCTAGGGTTCCTTACTGCCTCTTTAGCCCTGGATATCAAACCCTAGCCGTCATATCTCCTAGTTGAGCCTTGGAAGGTGCTTTAAAGCTTGGAAAAGGAAGAAGGAACTTGGAGGAGCAAGAAGGAGCTATAGATCTGGGATTGTGAGTTCATTTTGAGCACTTGGAGGTAATAAACTAGTTCCTGGACCCTTTTTGCACCTAGATCTATGTGTGGTTGTTGGGGCTCTTTTGCCATAATGTTATTATTTTGGGTTAGAAGCCGGATCTGGAGTTTCTACTTCAGATTCAAGTGTTTCAGGGCCTGGAGAAGCATAAAGTATCAGTCATTGTGTTGATTTTGAAGTCCCTTGGCCTTACACCCTAGTTAATGGCGTATCTTGCCTAGATATCCTTCTCTACACGTAAAGTTTGCAACTTTACGTAAGGAATAGACCTTAAAAGAGTGGATCTACAGTTTGAAGTCCATGCATGACTCAAAGGTCCTCTGCATGTATGTAGAACCGAATGGACTCGGCGAGTCCTTCGAGTGGACTTGGCGAGTAGCTTGAAGATAAGGAGGAACTCGACGAGTAGGATGAACAACTCGTCGAGTCGAATGAAGTTAGGCATGGACTCGGCGAGTTGGATGCGCAACTCGGCGAGTTGGTTGAAGATTGTCTAGGACTCGGCGAGTCATGGACTGACTCGGCGAGTCGGGTCGCGAATAAGGAAGACCCTGAGTCTATGAACTCGGCGAGTCTTTAGGAAGACTCGGTGAGTAGGGTTGACCTGGAAGGTTGACTTTGACCAGAGTTGACTTAGTTGACTGTCAGACTAAGTGTTATATGTATATTGATAGCTCGGAGAGCTGGAGGAGCAGCGGATCAGGGGATTGTCGAGTAGCAGCCAGAGATTTATCAGTAGGGTTCAGTAGTCTCAGGTGAGTTTCCTTCCAGTAGGGGCGGGTCTAAGGCCACAATGCCGGCCCGTCCAGTTAGCAGTAGTATCCGGACTTCGGCCCGATGCAGTAGTTAGTATGTTTGATGCCTTCTTGGCTCAGACAGGATTTATGTGCTATGTTTTATGTGTTATGTGTTATGTGTTCCGGGCTACGGCCCGATGTAGTATGCAGTATATGTGTTCATGCTAGTTGATATGTTATGCTATGCTATGTTTAGTCAGTTAGCCCGGACTCCGGTCCGATGCAGGGGACAAGGTCCCAGTCAGTCTCCGGACTTCGGTCCGATGCAGGGGGAAAGGCCCCAGTTAGCCCGGACTTCGGTCCGATGCAGGGGACAAGGTCCCAGTCAGTCTCCGGACTTCGGTCCGATGCAGGGGGCAAGGCCCCAGTTAGCCCGGACTTCGGTCCGATGCAGGGGATAAGGTCCCAGTCAGTCTCCGGACTTCGGTCCGATGCAGGGGACAAGGCCCTAGTTAGTCCGGACTTCGGTCCGATGCAGGGGACAAGGTCCCAGTCAGTTTCCGGACTTCGGTCCGATGTAGGGGCAAGGCCCCAGTTAGTCCGGACATTGGTCCGATGTAGTGGGCAAGGCCCAGTATGTGCTTTATATGTTTTTGTATGGTATGTGTTAGATTGGGGGAGCTCACTAAGCTTCGTGCTTACGGTTTTCAGTTTTGGTTTCAGGTACCCAGTTTTCAAAAGAGGAGCTCGGGGAGATTGCAGTGCACACACCGTAGTCAGTTAGCCTGGGAATGTTCGACTCTGATAATGATATTATGTTTTGAATTAATACTCGAGAATTCATGTTATGACTTATGATACAGTTTTTATAAATATGATTCTAGTAATGCTTTTAAAGAAATTTTTGGTCGTGATTTTTGGGTCGTTTCAGGGATCTTGAATTGTTGAAATGGTTAAATCAAGAAGATGAGTCATACTTCGTTCTAATACAAGTCTTAGAGTCATACTCCAAGATTGTCATTTGAGTGACATGTCTTAAAGAAGGTTTAAAACACTTGTCAAATGTAAGAGTAAAAGTTTTCTACTCTTGTACATTTGAAATTGGTAAGTTGTGATGTTTTGGATAAAACAAAGACCAACTTAGGCCAATTGTGTGAAGTGTTTGTCTTGATTAGAATCCACACTATCTCTTGGATATTTGACAAGGGTGTCTTATAGGTCAAGAGGACAGTGGGAGTCTTAAAGGTCTTGAAAGTCTCAAGAACTAATCAAGAATAAAACTTGAAGTTCTTCACTAGCACACGAATTGCTGTTTATAACCTATTGTGTTGACATATTCTGTGCCCATTCCAGTTAAAGTTGGCTTTGCATATGAGTTATTAGAGTTCTCAATTTGTTGCACAACAACTTGGAAGCAATGACAGGCCCTTGAGCTGCCAGGTGGCAAGAAATTAAGATTGAGTTCAGTCCATATGTGTTTGGATGTGTCATTATCCTTGTCTTATGACTATGGTTTTAACAATTCACATGGATAAGAACATATACACCATTAAATCTAAGTGTCATAAGGTTTCTCTCCGATTCATGAAAATGATGGTGAGGAAACACTTTCACTAAGTAGATTTTAGCTAGATAGCAATTGTGATATTTGGATTCTCAAAGTCGTTAGTGGAGCGTGTGTGGTTTACCGGCACACTAACCTGGACTTGTGAGAAGTGGCAAAAAGGTCTAACCATTATGATTACGGCATCCCTCTTCATAATTGTTTAGACACACAAGTGTGCTATCTAAGGGAAGGTATATGATTTTGATAAAGTTTTATCAAAACAATCTAGTATCCGAAATCTGAACTTTGGTAAGAAAGTCAGCTGATTTCTGAGTACATGTCAAAGCTAGTGGGAGCATAAGTGTTGTGCTAATAATCATCATGTTAGTGGGAGCATGATAATTATGATAAGTATTGCAAGTTAGCAATGTTAATTATAGAAAACAAAAGGTTTCAATTGGGAAAGAGTTCTTTGCTATAATTAAGGGAGAGGAAATTATACTTCATCTCAAATCTATAAGCTTAGATCGTGAGGTTTTAATCATTTAGTCAATGATATATATGAATTTCATGTTGGAATGGCTCAACATAAGGAAATTTTGTATATGAGTCCATTATTTGCGTTCTAAAATTCGATTATGATTACGACATCCCTTTTCATAATCTGAAATATGAGAACCTGGCAAATAGAAATGGAAATATTATAGCAAAAGACTGGTTTAGTCTTTATGTGAGACATCATGAATCGTGTCCCATATGCTTCGGATATAGGATCGATTACTTGTGCTATATTCATCCTTTCTAAAATTTTCCAAATGCCTGGGGCATTAAGAAGGGAAAAGGTTTAGAACTGGATATGACTAAAAGGATTAAACAATTGTCGAGGACAATCTAAGGTTTACCAAAGATTGGTTGCTCAAGGACAGTTGGAAGTATAGTGATAATTCTGGAAGAACCATATTGACATAATCTGTACGGAGGCAACTCTTGTTCAGAAGTGATAGTCAAAATGGAATCTAGAAATGTTTCAAAGTTAGAATTTTAATCTGTGTAAGATTAGGAAACTTAATGCAAGAAGGATGGTTCTAAGGAGCTGATCTCCTTTGGAATGCTCTGTAATGTTTGTTCTCAAGTCTTTCTGACTTTGTGCATAATCATTACAAGAGGATTAATGCATATAAGTTTAGAATCTAACATATTTCAGTAAATGGCATGAATATGGAATTCTTGCATTTGCAGTAAGGATTTGGGAGTGTGAAAAGAGAATCATTGAAGTTATGTTCAATTGATCTAGTTCACAAAGTAAGGATCATAGACAAACGTAGTATGCATACTTGGTGTATGGCATGACTAGTGTTTAGAAAACATAGTGTACATGTTTGGAGCATGGGACAACTACTGTTTTAAATTCAAGAATAAAGTTGATAGCTGAAACAGTATACAATGAATAATGTGTAATCATATGGTGATAAATAAAAGGTGTTTTATTTATATTCATAAGTTCTGAGACCATATTCGATTCAATTATTATTGTGTTTCACTTTGCATGTTTTGACTTCCCGAATAGACTAGGTTATTCTTCCGGAATGACTAAGTTATTCAAACCATCCATAGTAAGTCATATGTTGGAAGTAGATATGAATTAAGACTGTCATGGGTTGGCTTGTAGAGATCTAAGGTGTTGGACAAGGGGCTACAACACTCATAAGTGCTCATAAGTTCTGAGTATTGGATTCAACCCGTGCTCACCGGAATCACTTCATGGATTTTATCACGAGTGATCATGAGACGATAATATCTTATATTCTCCAAACCTAGAGATATGAGTTGTTACTATGAGTTGGTTGTACATTGATTGCACGAAAACGCATTTGGTAACTCGGTGCTATAAAACGTGCTTTTGTGTATGATTCAACAAGTAGTAGAACAAGCCATATGAGTCGAAGTTTATCCATTCCTTTTACCTTCGGGATAAAAGCGATATCTGTGGGCCCCTCGATGATTTGATGATGACAAATGGAAGCTCGGCCGGGCCAGGACTAATTTGATTTGTTCAATTAGTCAGTCGTCATAAATCGGAAATTGTGAAACAATAAATGGACAAAGGGAATGATTATAATCCATGTCTCAGTCCATATGATATCTAGAATGGAGGAATATATGATCCTTTATCTAATGGACAAGTCATTGACAAAGATCAGAGTTCATCGACAAGGTCAGAGTTCGACATAAGCTTTTGAGAGCTACGATTGCCAGTCGGTTCCTGAAGTCATACAGAATAATAGTTTTAGACTTATCCAAGTGGGAGACTGTTGGATTAATGTCTAAGACCATAACTATATTTGGTATGTACTTGACCCGACCCGGCATGGTCCATTTGGGTTGCACTTCACCGACACAATTTATATGGATAATCTTTTGAGAATAATATGTTTATGATTAATATTAATATATTATAAGTTCTAATATATTAATATGGAATCATATTATTTAATTAGTATTGATCAAGAATTAATTTAGAATTAATTAAGTGATCAAAATGAACTAATTAAATATGGACTCTTGTATATATGGAATGGGCCAAGTTCATTTAGGTTGGGATAAGCTTTCATGGATAGTCCATGGAGTGTTTAACCCATGGATCATATGAAATGAAAGGTCATGGGTTTAACCCTAGTTTCCATACTATATAAAGATGTCCTTGGTTGGTGAAATTGGCACAAGTGTGGGTACACTATGAAGGGCTAGCCAATTTCACTAGAGAGAACCAAGTATCCATATTCTCTAAAGTCTTCCAAGGTGTTTTGGTGATTTGTGATTCCACTTGAGGCTTCCACACTATTGGGGCTAAGCTCTTAAAGCTTGAAGACATCAAGCTACATCAAAAGGTATGTCATCTAACTAGTACTTTGTAGTACAAGTGCTTCATAATATGCTAGTTAGGATTAAATCCTTGGAAAGTTCTTATTTGTATGTATTATAGAGAAAACATATATCCAAGGTTTATAGGGTTGCATGTACAATATAGGAGTGTTAGAATGCTCAAAACCCAACATCTATTTCCTTCACGCTTTAAGAAATCGCTCTAATCTCACCCTAAATTCTACAAATATCAAAGATAAAAAAAAACTACACAATAACAAGGAAAATAAACATCAAACATAAAATTCCTAATCTACCCTAATTACTAAAAGTTAAAAAAAAAAAAAGAAAAAAAAAAGCAAACTCAAATGACGGGTTGCGTCCTGCAAGCGCTTCTTTTTGTGTAAGTCTTGAGCTGGACTCCCAACTTAATAAACTTCCAATAAACTCAATGCCAATCCATCCATTTCATTAAATATCTTTTTTGAACCAATTTGTTAAATTTGGCGCTTTGCTTCAAAAATTGACCAAACGAGCGTTAATCCATGTAAACCAAGAATCTTGACAAGGGTTGGAACTGGTCGGGTACTAATAATAAATGGATCATGCTTCAGAACTTTCCCTAAAGTTGGAATCGTCACCCTATGCTTCGAAACACAAACCGGAAATAGAGGGGGCCACATCATGGTGATGGTCAAACCATGTCGTGGTTCCTGCTGTTGGATTTGTTGAATTAGCCCATAACTATAACCGGGATGTACTTGACCGGATAGTAGCATGGTCCTTTTGGGTTGCCTTCATCAGTGCAATTTGATAGGATGGACTTTTAAGAATTAGGTTATTTATGGTTCATTAATATATTACAAGTATAATATATTAATATGAAGTTATTTAATTAGTATTGATCAGGAATCAATTTGGAATTAATTTTGTGGTCAAAAGAGACTAATTAAATGTATGAGGATTGATGGTCAAAAGAGACTAATTATATATATGGGGATTGATTATGTAAATAAATGATTCTTATAATGTTAGCTAATGATCCATGAGTATGGGCAAAACCAATAAGATAATCATGGGTTGTCCATGGAGGTTAAACCCATGGAACATAAGAATGTGAAAAGTCATGGAGCATTAGGGTTTACAAAGTGTAACCCTAACATTTGCCACATTATAAATAGACTCCCATCAAACAAAATTGTTAACACACTCTTTTGAATCAAGTATCTTATTCTCTTAAAGCCTCCTCTTGCATATTGGTGTTTGTAAACCATTAAAGACATCACACTTGAGGTGCTCAAGCTGTCAAAGGTCAAGAACTCTACCATACTCAAGACTTAAGCATCCAAACTAAGTTTATATTGTATACCTTCAAT